GCGATGAATTTTCCACGATAAATTTTCCCACGATGAACTTTCCACGATGAATTTTCCGTAAACCCAACAAGTTCTAATACTGGCATTCATACTGGTACTATAACAATAATTCAGAAATCCTTTAATAAACATCTCTTGTTTTTAGCATGCAGCCATCATATTCTTAAAATTATTGGAACAGCTTTATTTGATTAATTTTTTACTTTATATCTTTATATATTATACTTTATATCTTTATATATGTATAAGTATATATATACATATATTTATATATATATAATAATAATAATAATTATTATTATTAGAAAATTTATACAGTGCCTTTTACACTGGTCAACACCCAAAAAATTTCCTAAGGTCTTTCGGCTGATTTATGGAAATTTTGATGTCCTGAATCCAAATATCACATTGGTTTTTCTAGATCAGGTCAACTTTCTAAGCTATGGCCATATCTTCATTTTCACTTTTTTGTGTACAGTCCCAGGTATTTTCGCTGTATGTGATGCTTTGTTCTTAATCACTTCATCACTATGAGGAATTTGCAATTTTTAATTAATTGGTATTTTTATGTTTCCCCTATGCACACACACACACACACACGTTCAATGCATTAAATCACGTAACTACAGTCACGTGATCAGACAATCGCAGACATGCCCGGACGAGGCTGTGTATAACTATGGATAGTTACGTCAGCATTTTCCAAATCTGAGCCATATAGCAGATTGCATTAGTATAGGTATCAGTTGCAAACGAATCGCAAGCGAACGACATGGCTTCCAAGAGTAGATCTTGTAAAAATAAACCCGACGTATTTTGCTATATCTGCGGTGAATACACACTTGTTCATAACAGGAATCAAGTCACATGTTTCATAAAGCGTGCTTACCATGCTTATTTTGGTATTAAACTTGGTGACCAGGATAAAGATTGGGCGCCACACATGGTATGCAAGGCTTGTACCGTGTATCTGCGTCAGTGGACCAAGGGCAAGAAGACGTGTCTGAAGTTTGAAATTTCCATGGTTTGGCGGGAGCAGAGAAACCATGACACTGACTGCTACTTCTGTAGCATCGATCTGACTGGGATAAACAGAAAGAACCGAAGCAGCCTCGAGTATCCTGATTTGCAATCCGCACGTCGTCCTGTAGCTCATTGTGATGATATTCCAGTACCTGTGTTTCACAAACTTCAAGACATCAGTGATGACGAATCCTCCAGTGATGAAGATCAGGAAACAGAAGAAGAATGGCCAGTTGTTGACGATGAAACTCCACAGCTTTTTTCCCAACAGGAGCTAAATGATCTAGTTCGCGACCTCAGCTTGTCAAAGGCCTCTGCTGAACTGTTGGCATCCAGATTGAAAAAAAAAACCTCCTCTCTGGCTGTGCTCGCATCACCCTGTACCGCAACAAGCATCAAGAGTACCTCCAATTTTTCTCGGAGGTGCAGGACTTGGTGTACTGCACAGATATTGCACAGCTTCTGCACCACCTGGGAGTGCCGCAGTACAAGCCCGAAGACTGGAGACTGTTCATTGACAGCAGCAAGCGGTCACTGAAATGTGTTCTACTGCACAACGGCAACCAGTTTGCCTCTGTGCCCCTTGCTCACTCTACTAAACTGAAGGAGAAGTATGAAGCGGTGAAGTATGTGCTGGAGATGATTCGTTATGATCAGCATAAGTGGGTTATTTGTGTCGACCTGAAGATGGTGAATTTTTTGTTGGGGCAACAATCCGGGTTCACCAAATACCCATGTTTTCTGTGCATGTGGGACAGTAGGGACACTGCTCACCATTACACGAAGAAGGACTGGCCTGTGCGAGAGGAACTAGTGCCTTGCAGAGCAAATAACGTTATCAACAGCCCTCTGGTGGACAGAGACAGGATACTCTTCCCACCACTGCACATCAAGCTTGGCTTGATCAAGCAGTTCACAAAAGCTCTAGACAAGGAAGGTGGCTGCTTCAATTACATGTGCCAGACATTTCCGGGAGTAACCATAGTGAAGTTAAAAGCTGGTATCTTTGACGGTCCTCAAATCCGTCGGCTCATCAGAGATCCAGAGTTTGAAAAGTCAATGAACAAAGTAGAACAGGAAGCATGGAATGCTTTTGTTCTCGCTGTGAAAAACTTCCTTGGCAACAACAAGGCCAGAAACTATGCTGAACTTGTCAACAATATGGTGACTGCTTTCAAAAAACTCGGATGCAACATGAGCATCAAACTGCATTATCTATTTTCACATATGGATCGTTTTCCTGAGAATCTTGGATCAATGAGCGACGAGCAGGGAGAGAGATTCCACCAGGAGATGAAGGAGATGGAGACCAGGTATCAGGGACGTTGGAATGCCGTCATGATGGCTGATTACTGCTGGACTCTAAAGAGAGACATCCCAGATGCTGAGCATTCCAGGGTATCCAATAAACGGAAGTTCCAGCCCTAAATTCTTAACAATGACGAACATTAATGACCCTTACTTAAGGTACTGTGTTTCAGAACGCTTTTTTCTCTTTGAAACCAATTCCGAATGAGAAATGTTCATAGAAATAAACCGATTATGGCACAAAAATTTTACTGATTTATTCACAAATAAAATAAAATAAACATTTAACTTAGCAGAAAAACTGGACCTGACCTAGAGAAACGGATGTCATTTTCGGACTCAGCGGTGCCAAATTATCATAAATCAGTTGTAAAAAATTAGGAAATTTCCTCAAAAATTTTTTTTGTTGCTCAGTGTAATTATAGATGAACATCTCTTAACAGCGCTCTCACAAATTCAATATACAGCAGTAATGAAAACAGAACAGAAAACTGAAATAAAATCTATGTCATATTTATCAACAAAATGAATCAATCAATGACTTGGTTGTTCCTTGTCGACCACCCGTGTTAATCAGTGTTAATCAACATATATATATTGGTATTATTTAGTTGAATATTTATTGCTGGAATATTTATTGCTGGTTTACGTTTGATGAAAATTGATACCGTACCCGCTGTTCTTGCCTTGATTTGTTGAGTACTAAAAACCAACTTCTTCTGCAAAACCTAGCCTAGGTAAGGGTCACAATGGAGAAAGATGAGGACAGATGGATATATGATAGACAAGACAACGAAAGTTTTAATAGGGGTAATTATACAAGAAGAAATAATCATAGTAATAATGATGAAGGGAACTATAGGTTTAACAAATTTTGGAATAATGATAGAAGGTTTAATGGTAACAATAGAGATAATAATAAGGGTTATAGAGGTTATAACAATTATAATGGTAACAATAATAAAAATTATAAAGGCTATGATAATTATAACGGTAATGGATATTTTAGAAAAAACTCTGGATCTTGAGGTACTAGGCAAAATAATTATCGGTATAATAATAATAAATATAATAATGAAGGTAATAGGAAAATAAATAATGGTAATGATAATGGGAATGGTAATAATAATTTTAATGGTAATTATAATGATAATGGTAAGATCTTTAGAAATAATTTAAATGATGACAATTTGGAATTTATAATGACTAAATTAAATAAATTAATTGATGATAAATTAAGAAATAGATCGAAAAATGAAGAACAAGAGAAAGATAGAAATGATAACCAGTTGAAGAACAAAACATTGGAGGAGACTATGCATAGATGGATGCAACAAATTAGTCTGAAGGAACACATCAAATCTACCGAAATCCTGCGTCGTGCTGATTTAAATGATATAAAGAACGAATATTGGCAACCACGTAATTGTAATTGAATCAAGATGTAATTGAAAGTAAATCAACAAACTTTTTGGGTGTAAATATAGACAGCAAGTTAACTTTTAAACTGCATATAAGTTGTGTAACTACTAAAATAGCCAAGTGTAATCAATAGAGTTAAATTTTACTTACCTAAGAGATCATTGATTTTACTGTACAATTCAATATGTCTACCTCATCTTGTATAAGGCAACATCATCTGGGCGTCGACATATCCTTCGTTAACATTACCATTACAACGTTTGATGAAAAAAGCTATGAGAATTGTTACCCATGCAAAGTTTTATGACTCAACTAAATCATTGTTTCCGTTGACAAATAGCTTAAATTTTATTGATCTTCACAGATATTTTTGTTCAATATTTGTTTTCAAACAACAAGCAGGATTATTACCACCTATTTTTGGTGATTATTATAAATTTTTCTCGAATAATAGATATCATAATATGATCAAGTGTAACAAGTCTAAAACAAACATTTTGTTTTTTCATATTTTCTGTAATGGTCCGCGAATATGGAATAATTTATTAGCTAAATATAACTTGAACACTATTTTGGATGCAAGACTGAATATTTTCAAGAAAAAGCTAAAGGCAATTTTAATTAACAAAACAATATAACCTTGTTTAAGTGATTTATATTGATAAAATTATATGTTAATGATGGTGATGACAAAAGTGATGATGATGGTGGTAACGAGGATGATTGGTGGTGGTGGTGCTGATGGTGTCTGGCGTTTTGCATGTTAATAATGGTGATGGGGATTGTAGTGATGGTTGTGGAGATGAGGATGTTTGGTGGTGGTGACGGAGATGTTTGGTGGTGGTGGTGATGGTGTTTAGCGATTTACATGTTAATGATGGCGATGGTGATGAGGATCGTGGTGATGGTTTGGTGGTGGTGGTGCTGATGGTGATGACTTTTGTTTATAATGACAATTTTCTATTGTATTTTTTTAATTATTGTAAAAACTGGTAATAATTATGATTTTTTTTTGTAGTGATTTAGATTACAGAAATAATTTCATTTTTTTTATTTTGATCACTTTGTATTATATCAGACTGGTTTTTTATTTATTTTTTTTAAACTATTTGCAAGGTGGCTATGCTAGATGAGTTACATGATAACTTGATCATAATCATCCTGTCTTCTATTCTTTTTTTGTTAATTTTTTAGAAGCAAATAAAAAAGTATCGTATCGTATCGTTTGCGGTGATTTGGTCATGGTCATGTCAAACGAAGTGGAAACAGTGCCATAACTTCTCTTGCAGATGTTGAAGTACCTGGCACACGTCCCAAAGGCCGTCCAATGAAGTCCTGGTCGCAAACAATCGAGCAAGACATGAAAGCTCTTAATTTAAATGAAATGGACACAAGTGATCGTCTAATTTGGCGCAAAAAATTGATGGCAAAGAAAACAACGTCCTACCTCGGGGAACTGGGTCTCTGGACGCTAAACGAAGATTGATTGATTGATGGGAGGAGACTATAATAGTAGGTAAGAGCCTTATAGCAATAATTAAATTAAATCATCAAATGGCTAGCCATGATAAAGAACTGTATAGAAACGCATTTGTGGCGGGTATAAGGAAGATTAATATCAATGGTATTGCCCAATCTGACTATGAAGCAAAGAAGATGTTTTTTTAAAAAAAAACAAGAGGCTGTCATTGAGAGGTACTACCTAGAAACTACACTTAATGCGGTTGAAACCATTAAGGAACATACCAATAAGCATTGGCTAACCAGTAAAAACAACAATTTGGCAAGAATACCAATGGATGATATTCTTAGATTTATTAGTAATTTCAGGCGCAATAAGACGCATCTAGAAGAAAGGATTATTGAAGAGGTGATGAGGGAATTTAGGGGAATGGAATAAATTGCCACGGGTGTCTCTGATGAGGGAGATAAAGACAAAAATGAAAGAAAATATGGACAGGATAATCAGTTGGAGGATCCAGAAGTCCCCACTGATTGTCTACCCAAACAAACGAAAAAACCCACACAAACTATATCGTCGACCTTGACAATCTCTCAGGACATGACCGCTGTGCAGACCCAACCCCCCGCCACCCTGCAACAACATGCCCCTAATATGGATATAGGTAACTAAGAGGTGGTCAGAATGGTAAAGGAACTCACAATGGTTGTTGGCAAGATTAGTAACAGGAGATAGAAAGAGTGAAACAAAACTTCCATAAACAATGCAATACACAAACGAGGATATTACTACTGCAATTAAATTGTTGAAAAGTGATATTGAAAGTTTAAAACTGGACAACAACGACAAACTACAAATGCGCGGGAACACAAAAAAGGACAAATTACTCGAATGTTTCTCGCTTTTTAAATGCCTGAAAATTAACAATATGTTGGACAAAATGTTCAATATTTGTCAGCTATAACATGGCAGAAATTCCAAAGTTAGAAAGTATAGCAAACTTGAATTTTGTTAATTTAAAAAACGAAATTAGAGAAATTGTACACTCTCAACAGGTGCGCATAAATAATATAATTGAAGCTAATAAACATGATATACAAGTTTTAAAAAACCAAATAAGTTTGTTGTCAAATTTTAATGTTGAAAACAACTTCTTTAAAACTGCCAACTTGGAAAATAATAAACCTAATGTTATCCCAACTCAACCGTAATGTATATAAGATTATATTCTTAATTCAATCTCAACAACATTATATGTAGCAGCCAATACGGCTTCCTGGCTAAGCATTCAACGGAGCATGCTATTCTTGACCTTACTCAACACATTCTAAATGGTATGAACAGTAAAAAACTGTCTGTTGGCCTATTTCTGGATCTTTCATTTGATGTCAACGACCATAACATACTATAAAAAAAAACTTGATTGGTATGGTGTGAGGGGAATCGCTTCCAACTGGTTAGTGAGCTATCTTTCTTTGCGCTCTCAATATGTTTCCATCGACAACTGCAAATCAAATAAAACCTATGTCCAGAATGAAATTCCTCAAAGATCCATATTAGGTCCTTTTTTATTTTTAGTCTATATCAATGACCTCTGTGACGTCTCACCATTAGCCAAATGTGTACAATTTGCCGACGATACGAACATTTTGTTTACATCAGACGACATCAACAACTGTCGAGACACCATCAATCAAAAATTATCAGGATTTTCCAACTGGTTTCTGGCAAATAAACTACTGCTAAATCATTGTAAATGCTCTCATATAATTTTTGGTCCCAAAATTCCCCAGTTGGTCCCAATGCTCTTATATAATTTTTGGTCCCAAAATTTTAACTAACCAAGTCCAAGATTAAAACTTGCTGCTTAACAATAATTCAACTAATCGTACTCGTTTTACTAAATTTTTAGGCGTCAATATAACAGATAATTTCTTATGGGACTGCCATCTGCAATCAACTTCCCAAAAAGTCAATAAACTAATTGGAATTTTCTACAAAATAAAATACAAACTTTCCCAGTCTACTAAACTTATACTACGCATTTATTTATCCTCATCTTACCTACTGCATAACTTTATGGGGAAACAGTCCAAAAAGATACTTGTACAACATTACGCTCTCTCAAGAACGCTCAATACGTCTTATCTACAATACTGATCCTTTTGCCCATACTAAACCCTTTTTTGCAAAAAATAATATTCTACCATTAAAGTTTATATATTGTTATTTCAAAGTCATACTTGTTTTCAAATTTATTAACAAACTTCTTCAAACTCCTCTAGACAACCTTTACACAACAGGCAATTCTAAGTTATCTACCCATGCAAGACATGCTCAATTCTTTTACACGCATAGAACCCATATTAAATTATTTTCATCAAGTACCATCTGCTTCCTCCTCATTTATATGAAATTAAAAACCTACAACTTTTTAAGTGTAGGCTAAGTAATTTCTTAACAAAATTAGATCCCGACACCACCATCTAGTTATCTGGGAAAGTATGTACATGTAACTGTCATGTATGAGTTATGTGTGTGTTACAAGTATGCTTGTTTGCATCATGTGTGAATGTGGTGGGTTAAGCTGTAATGTGTGTAGAGGCTACGTTTACGTAGATGTTACGTTGGCATGTACGGGCAAAATGTATGCGTGTGGCACGTGGTATGAATGTCGTGTGCGTGTCTAAGTGTATGTGTATGTGGTTACATATGTGCGTGTGTATGGAGGAGTGCTTGTGTTCGTATGAGTATGTGGTAATGAGTATGTGTGCACTGCACGTATGTATTTTTGTGCGCATGGGTGAGTGTACGTGCATGGCATGTTTAAGGAAATGGTATTTTCATGAACTGCTTCACATAAAATTCAAATTTCGAGGTTTGTTAAAGCACTATTATGCTTTATATTTCGAATCAATTTGAAATATTAGAATTACTTTGAAATATCAACAACATATATGTTTGGGTGTGTATATATGTTTTATGATTAACTACAATTTGCATTATATATTATTCATTGTTTTTCATCATAAGTATACGTGCGTAGACACGCAAGTATAGTCATGTGTATACGATTGTATAAACATAATTCTTATTTGTCATTTTGTGACTGTCCATAATTTAGGTATGCAAAATACTTCATAATGTTGAAATAAGTGTAACCAATGTTTAAGCAATTACAAACGTCATGCTAAAAATTTGTATAAGCCAGTTTTGCTTTTGTTTTAAATATGCTCATTTCTCACTACTTTAAATTTTTTATTTGCTTAAATCTGCTTATTTATCATTATTATAAACTGTTCTTTTCGATTTCCAGATCATTTCCTTTTATTGATTTCACCTTTCTGATTTCATTGGTTGATTTGATGAAATAAAATATCTTATATATATATATATATATATATATATATATATATATATGTATAACATGACATACATGACATAATATTTTCTTCAAACATACAATAAACATCAACGATATTTTCAACTGAGATATGCAAACTGCAGGACATAATAATGTGTAGTTAAATACAATTTTTAGTTCGTGGACAGTTCATGGAACTAAATATTTGTATTATTAATTATTTTATAATTATGAACCATTTAAATATTTAATTTTGTTAAAATTATGTTCAAATGTATATTATTTTATATTACTAGTTTTCTGTTTTTTTTTACACTTCGGTCTTCGGTCTTGATTATAGAATATGAGATAGTGTTTAGATAATAAAAATTATTATGAACACATAATTTAATTTGTCCATTCTATGAACCGACTACTAAAGTGAAACGTTGGTACCCAAATATACCACCAATTAGTGATTTCGAAGTGATTTGAAAAAAATCAAACACCCGACGTGATTTGAAAAAAACGAAGATCGGACGTGATTTGAAAAAAACCGAAGATCCAACATGATTTGAAAAAAAGCCCGAAGATCAGACGTGATTTGAAAAAAAACCGAAGATACGACGTTGGTTGAAAAACACGAAGAAATGACGGGAATAAAAATCAACATTAATCAATATGTACGAATTACCTTCTTGTCTATATATTGTCGTTGCACTCGGCGTCACCAAAGTTTTTGACTCAGCTACCTCACCCTACTCAAAATCATCAATCAATCCACATCAATCTATCTCGCCAGATGGATTTCCAACTACCTACATAACCGACAATGCAAAACCCATTTCCACAACACCACTTCATTCGTTAGAACCATTCACACAGGAGTACCTCAAGGCTTCGTAATCTCTCCTGCCCTTTTTAATGCCTACATCAGAAACATACCTGTCATACACCCCCACCTAACGTCCAAGTAATGAGCTACGCGGACCACTTTACAATCTCATCATCGTCAAATTAGGTTGATGTGAACGAGCTATTTATGCAATAATTTCCGGAAATTTGAAATTGAAATTTGCATTACAAATACCTCAAAATTCTACACCTTAGAATTTTTTCTATAATTTTCTATCATTCATTCACGGTATTAGTTTGAATTTTATTGGTTGAATGAATGTCCAAACTTAAATGTTTAAAAACTTATGTTTGCAATGTGAACCCTAGTGCCTTTTCCTTTCCTCAATCCAGCCTGTAATTTCGGTAACTTTCTGAAATTATCGGAAACATAAATAAATGAAATTTAATTTGTTTTTGAAAATGTATCAATACAAAATGATTTAAAAAAGCAAAGATGGATGTCAAAAATATTTACAGTCGGAATTCTGCAAAAGCAGTCTTTGTGGCACTTTAGAAAAAGTTGAATTCCATGATGGTCCTGGGTCAATTTTTATTCACACACCCTCAATAGGTGCCAGCTTTGAACTAAGATGTTGAAAAAGTTCCTGACAACATAGCCATTTTGGAGAAAGCAAGTGGAGCTGAAGTGGAATTTTTTTCATTGAGCGACACAGACTCAGATGATACAGTTGAAACGAAAATAAAATTTCAAGTTAGCAAACGCGAAAAAATGGAAAAAAGGTGGATTTTTCAAATCCTCTATCTAAAGTTTCTTCTCTGGAAAGGCTTGCTGGTTCTCATAAAGAATTAATATTCATAACCCCTTTTAAGATATGGCAGCAATTTTTTGATGACCAAATGATATTTTTGATTGTTGAACAAAATCTTTTAATCTTTTATAGGCCAATCGTGACAAAAATGATAGAAGTTTAATAATGGATTATGATGAAATGAACAGATCGATGGGGATTTAATTATTGTCTAACTAGGGGTAATTGAGATGTTGATTTGCTGGTGACATTTTTGGGTCATAATGTCGCGCTGGCGACCTTTTTTGGGGTGTTTGTGGTCACAATGTCATTTTTCGCTCGCGGGCCATAGTTTGTTAACCCTTGGTCAAACTGCAATTTGCTTCCAAATGAAACAGATTATTGGAGCAATCAACCTGATCTGAGAGAATCTGTTGTCTCCAAATCTCTCTGCAAAAACCGATTTATGGATATAAAAAAAAATATTTACATATAGTAGATAATCAAAATTTGGAAATTGGCAATAAAACTGCAAATTTTTCAGACATTGTATAACTTGTTAAATGCTAGTTTGACAAAATTTAGAGCGCGGCATGATAAAATAAGTATTGATGAATCTATTGTTCCATATTTTGGCTAATTCAATACGAAATTGTTTATAAGAGCTAAACCTTATAGAATTG